TAGTGGTCTCCCTGACCGATCAATCACCGACTTCGACCTCTTCAGTAGGCTTTTCATGGCGCAATTTGCTGCCAACAAGAAGAAACCACCGATTACATCAGACTTGTTCTATCTCAAGCAGCAGCGGAAGGAGTCGCTGAAGGACTTTATGCAAAGGTTCAATGAGGTTGCTTTGAGGATAGCATCTTTGGATGAGAGGATGGTTGTCATCGCATTCCAGAAGGGCCTGAGATCTGGAGCTTTCGACATCGCTCTGGAAAGAGCAAATTGGAAGACGATGTCGGAGGTTAGAGCCTTCGCACTGAGTCACATTAAGACGGAGGAAGGACAGATTAGCAAAAGAGCAGCGGAAAGCCGAGAGGCGGGGGGTAGCAATAAGGAGGGAAATAAGCATCTCCGACCGCGATCGGACTGGAGTAAACGACGTGACCGTTACAACTTGAAGGAGGGCAATTACAGGCAGGCCGATCACGGTGGTCGGGCAAGGGGCGAGTGGTCACGCAATAATGACGAAGAGAAGTTTACTCCACTCAACGTTCCCAGGCGACAGATACTTCACGATGTCAACAACGCATCGTTGTTTGAATTTCCAGCGGCGACGGAACGTCAATTGGGACCCTTTAAAACTGATTGGTGTGCATTCCATAGAGCTCATGGACACTCCACTGAAAATTGCTTCGTCCTAGGGAGGCAGATCGAGCGTTTAATCAAGGAGGGGCGACTGAAAGAGTTTGTGGAAATAAAATAGGAAGGAGGTTCGTCGGATAGGCGACACAGGCGCGCACAAGATGACACCAGGAGGGATAGGCGTAGAGAGAGAACTCCTCCCAGAGACACGCCAACGAAGGTGTCAGAAACCTACCAGCAACCCATTCACGGGGACTTCAATACCATTGCAGGGGGCTTCGCAGGCGGGGGTACTACCTCAATTGCCCGAAAGAGGTACTCTCGGTCGGTGCTGGCAGTATCAGAATTCAAGCGACCATCTCAGCCTGAGATTTCGTTCTCAGACTCGGATTATGAAGGAGTAGCCCCTCGCGAGGACGACCCCGTCGTCATATCGGCGATTGTTATGGGGTACAATGTGAAGCGTGTGTTGATTGATCAGGGAAGTTCCGCAGACATCTTATTCTAGGAGGCTTTTGAGGGGATGAAAATACCTAATGACCGACTCATTCCTTATGCAGGGACTCTAGTGGGTTTTGCAGGAGACCAGGTCATCGCGAGGGGATATGCCGATCTAGAGACGACCTTTGGCCAAGGAGCTCAGATGAAAACGGTGGTTGTCCGGTATTTGGTGGTCAACGCCCAGTCATCCTACAGCATCTTGATCGGAAGGCCGACCCTGAACAAGCTAGGAGCTGTGGTGTCCACTCCCCATCTGAAGGTAAAATATCCGTTGCCAAACGGCACAGTGGGAGTCCTTAGAGTAGACCAGGAGGTTGCCCGGAAGTGTTACGGGGATAGCTTAAAGGCGCGAAGGCGACTGTACACTGCACAGGTGGAACAGGAGGTCCACTCCGTCGAGTTAGACCCCAGAGTAAGCCATTTCGATCGCCGACCAGCTCCTGTTGAGGACGTTAAAGAGGTGGTAATGGCGGAAGGAAAGAAAGTGAAGATTGGTACATCCCTAAGCCAGGAGGATGCAGGGAAACTGATAGAGGTATTGAAATCGAACTTGTCGGCATTCGCGTGGCACGCCAAAGACATGCCAGGAGTAGACCCCGACTTCATGTGCCACAGGTTGGCCATAGACCCAGGCGCGAAACCGGTGATCTAGAAGAGGAGGAAGTTTGAGGAGGAAAAACGAAAGGCCATCGCCGAAAGAAACAAACAAGTTATTAATGGCAGGGCACGTACGAGAAATACAATACCCGACCTGGCTCGCAAATGTTGTGATGGTACGTAAAAGTAGTGGAAAATGGAGAATGTACACAGATTTCACTGATTTAAACAAAGCGTGCCCGAAGGATTCGTACCCTTTGCCGAATATAGACTGCCTCGTTGATGGTGCGTCGGGATATGAACTGTTAAGTTTCATGGATGCGTATTCGGGTTACAATTAGATCCGAATGCACCCGGCTGACGAGGACAAAACCGCGTTCATCGCCGATCAAGCCAATTACTGCTACAAGGTCATGCCTTTTGGCTTGAAGAATGCGAGAGCAACGTATCAACATTTGATGGACAAAGTATTGGTGAACCAGCTGGGTAGGAACGTGGAAGCTTATGTCGATGACATGGTGGTGAAGTCAATGAGTCTGAATAGGAATTTGGACGACCTGCAAGAACTGTTTGAGACCATAGGCAAGTATCAGCTGAAGTTGAACCCCAAAAAATGTTCTTTTGGGGTTCAAGCGGGAAATTTCCTTGGTTTCCTGCTAACCCATCGCGGCATCGAAGCAAATCCCGAAAAGTGCTCGGCAATCATCAACATGAGGAGTCCATCAACGGTGAAGGAGGTGCAACAACTCGCTGGGCGAATGGCATCTTTGTCGCGTTTCCTCTCAAAGGCAGCCGACAAGGCCCTCCCGCTTTTTCAATGCTTAAGGAAGAATGATCGTTTTACTTGGACGATCGAGTGCGAGGAGGCTTTCCTGGAGTTGAAGAAGTCGCTCGCGTCGCCACCAATTTTGATGAAGCCATGGCCGAGTACCCCTTTGCTGGTGTACATATCGGCGTCTGATCGAGCAGTCAGTGCGGTTTTAGTCCAAGAGCAGGAAGGCACTCAAGTCCCTGTGTATTTCGCGAGTCGGGTCCTACAGGGAGTAGAAACGCGGTATCAGAAGATTGAGAAATTGGCTCTTGCAATACTAGTTACAGCCCGGAAGTTGAGACACTACTTCCAGAGTTATGAGGTAATAGTCCGAACTGATCATCTGATTAGGCAAGTATTACAGAAGCCCGACCTGGCAGAAATGATGATGAAGTGGTCTATAGAGCTATCATAGTATTCCATGAAGTATGAATCGAGAGGAGCAATCAAAGCTCAAGCGCTAGCCGATTTCGTGATAGAATTGACCTCACCTGCCGATGAGGGCGAGGCCGGAGAGACACATTGGATCCTATCAGTGGATGGAGCCTTGAATCTTGGAGGAAGTGGAGCAGGGATTGTTTTGGAAGGTCCGGGAGGAATTTTGTTGGAACAATCACTACGCTTCGAATTCTGAGCAAGTAACAACCAGGCCGAATACGAAGCGTTGCTAGTTGGCATGGCGTTGGCAAAATAAATGGGGGCGACGAGTTTGTCAGCGCGAAGTGACTCTCAGCTGATTACGGGGCAGGTAGCTGGCACCTTCCAGGCGAAGGACCCTCAACTGGCTAAGTACTTTGAAAAAGTTAAGCTCTTATCGGAAAATTTCTAAGAGTTTACGCTTAACCATGTACCACGAGAGCAGAATTCGAGAGCAGATCTCCTCTCAAAGTTAGCGAGCACAAAGAAGCCAGGAGCCACTCGGTCGGTCATCCAAGAAACCTTAGCTCAGCCGAGTATTAATGAGCCACAGGAGAGTGTCTTTTTCATCCAAGAAGAGCTCGAGTCGTGGATGGGACCCTATATTGCATACCTGACTCGGGGGGAGTTACCAGAGGACAAAAAGGAGGCGTCGCTGATACAAAGAGAGTCAGCCAGATTTGTGGTCATCAGTGAAAGGTTGTATCGAAGAGGTTTCAGCTCTCGTCTTTTAAGTTGTTTGACCATGTCATAAGCACAGAGAGTGATGGACGAAGTGCATAGCGGAATGTGTGGAAGTCACATCGGAGGACGAGCTTTGGTGTATAAAGTTGCCCGAGTAGGGTACTTTTGGCCATCCTTGAGAAATGACTGCGTCAATTGGGTCCAAAAGTGTGATGGATGCCAAAGACACGCAACCCTGCACCATTCCCCAGCTGAACGACTACATTCAATCCTATCTCCCTGGCCTTTCGACAAGTGGGGTATTGATATTCTCGGTCCATTTCCGATCACGGTAAGGCAACTGAAATTCTTGATAGTGGTTGTAGACTACTTCAGCAAATGGATCGAGGCGGAGCCAGTTGCAACCATCTCAGCAGAGAAGGTTAGGGCGTTTCTTTGGAAGAATGTGGTGTGCAGGTATGGTGTTCCTCAAGTGCTCGTTTCTGATAATGGGACACAGTTTGCAAGTGCGAGAGTCCGTGATTTTTGTCAAGAGGTCGGTATCTGAATGACATTCACTTCCGTTGAACATCCCCAGTCTAACGGCCAGGCGGAGTCGGCCAACAAGGTAATTCTCTCAGGGCTAAAGAAGCGTGTCCAAGACTCAGGTGCTTCATGGGTGGAGGAGCTTCCCCGGGTGCTATGGTCATATCACACAACTGTTCATTCATCGACCCAAGACACTCCATTCAATTTAGTGTACGGAACAGACGCCATGATCCCGATTGAAATCGCAGAACCCTCAGTACGTACCACAACTTTTTCAGAAGAGGAGTCCGACCAGGGAAGACGAGTTGACTTGGACTTGATCGCTGAGACAAGAGAGAGAGCAAGGATAAATCAAGTAGCAGCCCAGAGAAGAGCAGCTTCCAAGTACAACACAAAGGTCGTTTCAAGAGACTTCGTTGTAGGAGACCTCGTTTTGAAGCGTGCTCAGCTAACACAAATGAGGAACAAGTTGTCACCTAAGTGGGTCGGCCCTTACAAAATTGATGATGTGGTCGGCAAAGGGGCTTACCGACTTAGGAATAATATCTAAAACTTCCTAAAATATATTTTGACATAGCCACTATAACCTATTGCACATGTGTGCGCATTTGGTTTTCAGACTTCCATACTAACATCTCTTTAATGTGGTAACTTCCTTTTTCTATTACTATATATATTATCATTATATTGTCATAATGGAGCCTTCTACTCTTACTCAGGGCTATTGCTCTGTTCATTTCAGACATAATTTCTTAATAAACATGTTTTTTGGTTAAAAATGTAATGATATAAATCTTTTATGGAAAGTGACATAGCTATTGATTTGTTCATGCAGTGCTTTCTGTCACTAGGAAAAGTGGTGCATAAACTTTCAGAAGTTGATCTTGATTGGTTTGGACGGGTGAAGCTGATTGATTGCATTTGCAATCTTGTTTTACTCCATCCTCAAATTGGTCAGGTGATTTTGAGATGTTCTTGTGTAGGGTAAATTTTGGTGAACCTATCAGTCATGGATATAGTATTAATGGCATGATAGAGCTAATAAACATAATGAATAAATAGAAAAACATGGAAATGGTATTGGGTGAAAGATATTGGCAATGAGAATTACATGCAAGCAATTTTTGAGTTCTTGGAAATCATAGGGTGGTTAATTATACTCTAGAGAGGTTGTTGTGTAGCCTATGGTCTTTTTAAATGGTTTTTCTTACTGTGTTGTTGAAGGATTGGATAGCTTTGCTTCATTGTTATTTTCTTTGTTCTCGTTTTTTGTTTTGTTGTTTTTTTTTTGTTTCTTTCTACCCAAGCATTTCTCTCATTTAGTTTGCTGATAAATTTTGACAGACTATGATAGAACGGTTATTTTTGATGCTTAAAGATATGGACTATCGAGTTCGGTTATTCCTGGCAAGGAGGATTGGTGTTCTTTTCCAGACATGGGATGGTCACGAGGAGCTTTTTCAGGACATTTGGTGCGTTGCACTTTAAATGATCCAACTAGTTTAATTATATATGTTAGTCATGACGGTATTTTTAGTAAAATGCCTTCTTTGCAAGTGGCTTTTTGTCAGTTTTGGGGTTGTAGAACTTTGGGTAGTTATTTGCTACTATCAACCAGATTTATTTAATATTTATTGGTGCTTTCATGAAGTCATAGGTTTTAGTCATCATTGAACCTTCAATCAGTGCTCCCAAGGTCCCATTCCCCCACCTAAGAAATTTCCTTTGAGGAGGTTAATTGTCATCCTTCATTTTTTGGTTGCTTTTCCAGTTTGAATTTTGGTGTTCAGATGGTCGTTTATTCCAAAGGAAAAGTCATTGATGCGAAGGAGGTGCTAGCTGCTGGTCCTCAGCCTCAACCTATAATGGAAACAGTTGTGGTTACTCTTATGCATCTTGCTTTACAGAGTGAGAAGATTGAGTTAGAGGTAACCTATTGATTATGGCATTAGCTTTTATTTTCTTTTACTGTTTTGTAACCCCCATCTGCCCTGGGAGGCCTGGTGTAGTGTCATTCTAAAGTATGATACTAAATGTTCTTGATATCTTTTTGTTTAGCTATATTAGCATATACATTCATATGCATTATACGGAGCCCTTTGGGTATTTGGTGACCCTTTGTGTCATTTTGCAGGCTGTTTTCATGATATGTGTGATTTCGGCCATTGATCCTTGTCATAGGTAAAAATAATTTTCCTTATCATTTTAAAAACTTTCACTATTGCTTCTTATATGCTGCAGTTTCTTTTAGGGAATTGGTCTCTATGGTACTCAACAATATTTCTAGAGAGCTTCAGTACATGAATAGAATGAAGGTAATCAATGTTTTCATCTTATATCACCTTTTCTGTTTTTATGTCATGTTATGTGATGACTCAAGTTTAGATTGGATTTGCCTATGCTTAGCCTCCATGTCTGCAGTTTGGTTTCCCTAAATGTCTTTAAATCCTTCAACTTAAATTTCTTCCTTTCTATTTTCTCTTTGTACAAAAGACAAAATTTATTGTTAGGCACAAATTTAGTTGCAATATTTTTTTATGAACAAAAAATTGAGAGAAGTATAGCACAACTACAAGGAGAAAGGTATATGCTCCAAATTGGAAAATGGAGAAAAAGAAGGAAAATAAAGAATCAAGGATGTAGCTTTGCTCTCTAGTTTCAATTATCGTAAAGGGACACTCACTTGAAGCAGTCATGGGCTGAGCACTAATGAGAAACCACAAATACATTTCTATCCCCAAAGTAAATCTTGGGGCTTAGAGTTGTCCTTGTGATCAGTGCTATGCGCATTTGCTTCAATCAAGTTGCTAAAGAACTTCAAAATGCATGCTTTACACCAATATTTTGGCCTCATCTATTTTACCAACTAGAAAGAGAAATTGCTGTAGGTTGAAAGTTATACAATGTTCACCACACTGCATTCTAGCCACAATAAATTGAAAATTTATTCGGTAATAAGTGAGGAAAGGGTTGAACTCTAAATGACCTGTTAAATTTCAACTATGCTCTATGATAGATACTTATTAGTTAGGGGATTGGAGTTCCAGAGTCTGAGGGGTGGAGAGGGGTTGCCTATAAATAAGAGGGGTTGAGAGGGAGAGGACTTGTCTTTGGATTTAGACATTCTTTGGGAGAGAACCAGGTCTCTCAAATTCCTGGAGTGTACTTCTGTTTTTCATTATAAATATCATTGTAGTCTATAATCTGATCCAGTTTCTATCAACTGGTACTAGAGCTCCAGTTCTGGACCCAAGGGTGGGGTAACTGTTGAGAAAATGTCTTCAAGGTTGATTCCAAGATTTGATGGTAGGTATTGGTGACTGAACAATGTAGTGCAGTATTTGGGGATGATAGTACCTGGAGATGAAAAGCTATCATGGGTTGATGCGTTTTCATTGAGAGCAATTAGAATGCAACATGGTGGATCTTTGATAGGGCTGTGCTGAAGCAGTTCCAGTCAGAATTTGATCCAGATATCTAGGTTCAAGAGGAGTGGCAAGGACCAATGGAGCAGAGGACAGATGCTGATGACGAAAGGTAGCAAGAAAACATAACAAAATATGAAGGTTTGAAGAGAACAGAACCAGCAGCTTAAGGAAAAGAATCAAATAAAAGAAAGCAACAAAAATTGGGAGAAACAAAACAAAAGCAACCAAACAACATTCTGAATAAAGATTCAGAAAAAAATAAAAATTATCAATGTTTGTAAAGATTTAGAAAAAGGGTGATAATATTCAATTTTTCACTTTAAATAGGAAACAAAAAAATGGGAATTATGATACATAAGATATATTGCTAATTAAAGATCAATTCTTTTGCATTTACAGAAAAAAATTTCTCATTGGCAGTAAAAACAAAGAGGTGGGTCTTTTTCGGGTTTCAAAGAGGAGGCATAATTGAGGGAAGCCCTATGTTTGTCACAGGGGGAGACCCAAGTAATAAACCAATGGCAGCAATGGTTTTTGCTTATTTTAGGTGTGTAGTACCATCAACCCACTGCAGAAGTAGAACCCATTTGCAATGGTGCAGTTTGCCAGGGAGCCATGCGATCTCAGTATAGTTACAAAGTTTCTGATGCTCAGTTTCATGTAGGCATGGCAATGGGGCGGGACGGGGGCGGGTTTTACGTTTCCCGCCCTCGTCCCCGCAGATTTAAACTGCCCCCGCCCCCGTCCCTGATACCCGTTGGGGGTAAAATTTGGGTACCCATCCCCGTCCCTGGCAGGGTTCGGGTTTCCCCGCCCCGTCCCCGCCCTCGCTCCTACCTTTTTTTAAAAAAAATAAATATGAACAAATTTTTAAAAAAATAAAAGAAAAGTAAAATAATATAAATTTTTACATATAAATATTTCTAATTTTGGTTTATATATATATAAATAATTTTTTAATTATATTATTAAGCGAGGCGGGAGCGGGGGCGGGGGCAGGGTGCGTATTAGCATTCCTGTCCCCGCCTTCGCCCCCGATTTTATCAATCGGGAAAAACCTGAACCTGAACCCGATAAACACGGGTTTTTCCCATCCAAATCGGGGAGGGTTTGATTGCCATGCCTAGTTTTATGGCCAAAAATACAGTAGAAACAGAGCACTAAAGGAGCACAGGGTCATTTCCATGTTTGTCTTTGATCTGGGATGATTGGAAGTTATTCTCGGACTGCATGGTGGAATAGTTAGTTAGAAGTTGCCTATAAATAAGAGGGTTGGGGCGAGAGGAGCTTTCTTTGGATTTGGAAATTGTTTGGGAGAGAACCTGGTTTCTTGAATACCTGGAGTCATAACACTTTTCCATCAATAAATATCATTTTAGTGTACAATCTGATCCATTTTCTATCACTCTAATACTGTCTTCAACATTGTCTTGACTTGCATGCTTTTAAACTATTATAGCTACATTCTAGTTGTGATATTTGTTCTTCCTAAAATGATATCATTGTGCATTCAAGATTCAAAACCTTATGAATAATGTTATTGTTTGACTTCAAATTTCTTTTATGCAGTACCTAGAAGAGCTTTTTGGATCAATTATCTTTTGTTGGGTAGCTTGTGGTGTAAACTTAGCAGCACTTGTTGAGGTAATATGTGCTTCTTATGTATAGTCTATTAAAATTTTACTAAATCTATGAAAAGAACTGCAAGGTAAAATACCTTGTTTTTGCTTTATGTACAATGTCACATAGCCTGTCATTGGAAAAAGCAGTTTGTGTTACCTGTATACAGAACATCAACAAGCTAGGATTATATTTTAAATTCCATTTGTTATTAGTAAACAAAAGGATATTGGTTGCACTTAGATATTCAAATAAGCAATAAAAAGCACAGATCCACTGATCTTTCTATTTCTTATATATATTGAATGAAAAAGAGTAGGATTACAACAGAAAACTGAATAGTCTAGAGGCCTAAGCCATCACATCAAGCTAGAGTGAAGTCAGGAAATACATTAAAATATTTAATAAACAGAAGAGGCTTTCTACATAAGCTATTCTAACACTCCCCTCAAGCTGGTGCATATAGGTTATATGCACCGAGCTTGGAACATAAAAATTGGATTCAAGGTCCCCTTAATGACTTAGTCATAACATCTGCAAGTTGTTCATTGGAATTGACAAATTCAGTAATGATTTCCTTGGACAGCAACTTCTCCCTCACAAAATGACAGTCAACTTCTATGTGCTTGGTTCTCTCGTGAAATACTAGATTGGAAGTAATGTGAAGAGCGACTTGATTATCACAATACAATCTCATTGGATGATCCTCACAAAACCTTAACTCTCGAATGAGTTGCTTAATCCATACAAATTCACAAGTAATCAAGGCCATAGCTCGATATTCAGCTTCGACACTAGATCGAGCAACAACATTTTGTTTCTTACTTTTCCAAGAAATGATATTTCCACCAAGGAATACATAGTATCTAGTAGTAGAACATCTATCTATAGGACATCCTGCCCAATCAGCATCAGAGTATCCAGAAATCCTACTGTCTCCTTTGTCCTCATACAATAATCCTTTTCTTGGAGCCTTTTTGATATATCTAAGAATACGCAGAACAACATTCCAATGATCGATATGAGGAGCCTGCATGAATTGACTAACAATCCCTACTGCAAAAGAGAGATCAGGTCTTGTGATTGTAAGGTAAATGAGTTTTCCAACCAATCTCCTATACCTTTCTGGATCTGTGAACAGTTCACCTTGATTAGTCATTAACTTTTGGTTAGGATCCATAGGATTATCAATGGGTCTACAATCAGTCATGCCTATTTCCTCCAAAATGTCCAAAGCATACTTCCTTTGAGAGATCACAATGCCTTCCTTTGAGAGATTGTAGATACATCGTTTCCTATAATCACTATGTCATCCACATAAACAATCAAATAAACACATCTCCAGGAGAAGTATGACAGTAGAAAACTGAGTGGCCTGCTTCACTTCTTTTAAGCCCAAAGTCCTGTACAACATGACTAAATTTTCCAAACCAAGCTCGAGGAGATTGTTTGAGGCTATAAAGAGATCTTTGCAATTTACAAACTAAACCAGACTGCCCCTGAGCAACAAATCCAGGAGGTTGCTCCATGTAAATTTCCTCCTCCAACTCACTATGAAGAAATGCATTTTTAATGTCTAATTGGTGGAGAGGCCAATGAAGAAAAGCTCCCATAGCAAGAAAGAGACGTACAGTAGGAAGCTTGGCCACAGGAGAGAAAGTGTCACAATAGTCTAGGCCGTAAATCTGAGTATACCCCTTTGCCACCAATAAGGTTTTGAGCCGATCAACTGTACCATCAGGGCCAACTTTAATAGCATAGACCCATTTGCATCCAAATGGTCGTTTCCCAGGAGGAAGTGGAACTAGCTCCCATGTACCACTATGCTCAAGAGCTTGCATTTCAGCAATCATGGCTTGTCTCCACCCAGGATGACCAAGAGCCTCATGAACATTTTTAGGAATGGTAAGAGGAGCTATAGAAGAGACAAAGGAGAAATACAAGGGGGATAAGCGATGATAACTCAGAAAATTATAAATAGGATGAGGATTTCGAGTAGACCGAATACCTTTTCAAAGAGCAATAGGCCATCCTGAGTTATCCTCACTAGGATTCGTAGCAGGGACATCTGATGGTGAAGGACATGAAACCGGTGACTCTTCAGGTAATGTTGGATCAATTTGTCATGCTCGACGTTGATATGTGATAAGAGGAGGTGGAGTAGCTTGAATAGGAGTAGTTGCGGGAATAATAGACTGAGTAACCTCTTGGTTATGAAGTGAAACTTGAGGTGGAATGAAAACATGAGAACAAACTGGTAGAACCTGTTATATTGAAAGAATCATGAGTGGTGCATGAGAAAAATGGAGTTTGTTCAAAGAAGGTGACATCTGTAGACATGAAGAATTTTCTGGTCTCTGGAGAGTAACACCTATACCCTTTCTGAAGACGAGAATAGCCTAAGAAAACACACTTAATAGCTCTAGCAGATAGTTTATCCAAACCAGGAGAGACATTATGGACAAAACATGTACACCCAAAGACTCGAGGTGAGACGTGAAACAAGGGTTCCTTTGGATAAATAATGGAGTAAGGGATTTTATTTTCAAGGGAAGAAGAGGGCGTTCTGTTCATTATAAAACAAGAAGTGAGGATTGCATCACCCCAATGATGTACAAGAACATTTGCATTGAGCATGAGGGTGCGTGCAGTCTCCACAAGGTGCCTATTTTTCCTTTTTGCTATTCCATTTTGTTGGGGTGTATGTGGACATGTAGACTGATGTAAGATACCCTGTGAGGATGTGAAAGAGGATAATTCAAAAGAGAAATATTCTTGCATTGTCACTTCTAAAAATTTTAATTATTCTCCCAAATTCGTGTTTGATCTCATTGAAGAAAGACATAAAAATAGACAAAAGTTCAGAAAGATCTTTCATTAAATATACCCAAGTACATTGTGAAAATTCATCAATAAATGTTTCAAAATATCTGAAATCAAAAGATGTTACACGACTTGGACCCCAAATATCAGAATGAATGGTGGTGAAAATCGAGTTACATCTTTTATCAGTTCGCATGGGAAAAGACGACCTAACATGTTTGCCTAATTGGCATGATTCACAACTTAACTCTTCTAAATTTTTAAGATTAGGAACAAAAAGTTTCAGCTTGGATAGACTTGGGTGACCCAAACGATCATGCAAAAGCTTGGGTGACAAAACAGCATCACAAGATACAGGTGGTTGCGTTTCAAAATAGTAGAGACCACTAGATTCATGTCCTGCACCAATTTTTTGACCCGTACCACGTTCTTGAATAACAAAATATTCAACATTAAAGGTTACTGAACAATTTAAAGATTCGGTTAGCTGACTTAAAGAGATTAAGTTGAAAGGACAATTAGGAATAAACAAAACAGAGTTCAAATTTAGTGAGGGAGACAGAAACTTGACCGATTCCTCTGGGAGCAATTCTAGATCCATCTGCGAAGGTAATAAGGTAAGGTGACTTAAGTGGGGACATGGAAGAAAACATAGAATTATTACCGATTATGTGATCAGAGGCTCCTAAATCAATGATCAATGGACTTTGATTTGCAGTTGAATGAGAAACACAGGCTGTAGAAATAGTTGTGGTGGAGGAAGATTGAGCTCGATTCATAGACTTCCATTGAAGATATTCTTGATAGTCATCTTTGGGGATCTTCATATAAGATTTTTCTAATTTCTCAGATTTGGACAGATTTGCTATCTTTTATGGAAAACCATGAAGAGAATAACAATTCTCTTGGGTATGACCCAACCTCTTGCAGTATGAACATTGAGGACCCATTTCTGCTGCCTCTTCCTCCTCGATTTCCACGAACACCTCTACCTCGACTAGAAACCATTGCAGAAGCTTCAACAGTTCCACCATAGTTTTCATTCTTCACTTCTGTAGGGACACGAAGAAGTCTAACTATTAGGCTGTCCATTGAAGGAATCTCGTGGCTGGTCAGAATCTGGTCACGAACATGATTGAAATCTGGGTGCAATGTTCTCAGGATCAGCACCACATATAGCCTATCAAGTTTCTTATTTATTCCATCTAATGAATCATTTGTCAGGAACATTTTTAGTTCTTCTACAACAGCTTGGGCTTCAGCAATGTGAGACTTCATTTCATGATTAATTTGTTTCAAGGATGCTATTTTTTGAGTAGCATCATACAACCGCTGAATATCATTTGCATAAATATTTTGAGCCTTTTTCCAAAAAGAACAACAAGTTTTGAAGTCTCAAAGTGTCCCCAAAATATTTGGCTCAACTGACTACCACAACACAACACATAGTTGAAAATCAAGCTTCTTCCATTTAGCCCGACTTTCATCCGAACCCTCAGTGTCTTCCATTTCTAGGTGATTGTGGTACCCTTGACCAAGGAACCAGAGTTCCACAAAGGCAGCCCATGATAAATAATTTTTTCCATTGAGTTTCTCCGTGGTTATGGTCAGAGTGCCAGAAATAGACAAAATAGGGCCCGGAGATGCCATAAGAAGATGGGTTGTGCAACAGGGATTAGAGAGAGAAGAACAGCAAAAGAGAAACGCAGACCCACACCTTAAATAGTGGTCAAATCACAAAACTGACTCCAAAAATAGGCTCAGGAGGCTCCGACGAACAAGACGGTGGCGGAGTGAGGAGGTTCTGACGAACATACAGTGGCGCGTGAACAGTACGCGCTTGACAGAACCGGAGAGAAAAACGGGGCATGAGAGCGTGTGGGGACTCTGACGACGGGAGTTGACGGGGTTAGGTCGCACCTGACGAGGCGCACCAAACCCTAGGTTTGCCGGAGTAACAAGTCGCTGACGGACGGCAGAGCGGGGTCGACCCTGCTCTAATACCAACTTAGATATTCAAATAAGCAGTAAAAAGCATAGATCCACTGATCTTTCTATTTCTTATATATATTGAATGAAAAAGAGTAGGATTACAACAGAAAACTGAATAGTCTAGAGGCCTAAGCCATCACATCAAGCTAGAGTGAAGTCAGGAAATACATTAAAATATTTAATAAACAGAAGAGGCTTTCTACATAAGCTATTCTAACAGTTGCCTTTTTGTTCTCTAGTCTCAACTCAAAATAATATGTATAAGAGCCTTCAGCAAACAGTGTTAGCTTTTAGGTGAGTTGGTTGTTGACATAAAATGAGAGTATCTATGATTCAATGGTCAAGGGTTTGATCCTTGCCATCCTCATTCTCCAGGTAAATAAAATTAAATTTTAGCTTGTGGTAAAATTTTTGCTGTGTATTGTTCATGCTTCAAGTCTAAAGTCTAAAGTTTAGGCATGAATCATATAATAAAACCATTCACAAGCCTTCATTGACAAGCTGGTTGTTTCAGGAGAATTAATACTTGAGATGTATATATACTGGTCATATCTTTGTTAATTCTTATTTTTGTTGTGTTGTTTTGCCTTCCCCTTCTCCTTTTCAAGCTTTACTTTTCTCTTTTTATATTATCCTCTTATGTTATATAATGTTCCAAGATGCCGGATTGTTGTGCTGTCAGAAAAGGAGTGGATGGAGTGAGTCCTTGCACGGTTGATTTATTTATTACATTGAGTTGGCTTGAAAATTATCTTTGTGAATAATACAATTAAATGCAATAAAAATTTCAAAGTTGGGGAAGATACACAAGGTGCCTATACAGAAATCATTCAGTCAGACCATCCAACTTAAAAGCTTAATTAGCTTTTTTAATTTCCTAAATTAATGTTACGTATGCTACTCTTAACTGATAACTTAATTAAATACCGACTTTGGAGCAGTATATGGCCTTGCAATGTGAAGTTGCAGAAGTCCTGAACTTATAAAAGCCCATTCAGTGGTCAGGATGTGGTAAATAAGTTAGGATAAACTATAGTTATACATCCCAGATGGTAGTGCATAGTAGCCTGCCCCAAAAACACTAGCATTGTTGGGGGAGCTAGGTTAGTAACTAGTACAATAGAGTAGAATTTTTTCCCCTTCTCAACCTTGTCCCTACACTGTGCAACTACTTTTCCGCACATGCCGTGCAAATCCCCAAGGCCCCAACCACCTCTACTTCCAGCCACCAGTATCACCACCACCACTAATGACACCAGCCCCCATCCACCACCATCTTTGTTTATATACAATTTATAATACCACTCTTTAGGTTATTTGGTGAGCATCAAAGGTTGGATAGATAGAATAAAAGCTTCCGTGACATATGTAGTCATGTCATTTCCAATTCTGATCGTCCTCTCTTATTGTATCTTGACTATTGAACACATCCTGAACCAGAGTATAAAATGCCACTCTATTTGTTGCACTAGATTTAATTATTAGAGATAAGCTTCTTCTCGATAAACTCTGGAAATCAAAAACTCTATCTTTATGATTTATTTGGATAGTGGTATTCTTATGCTGTATTCTGGTGAACTTTTTCTCTGCCATCAATCAATTTCTGCTTTGCAGACAAGGCACCTTTTCTTACCCGATGCAGAACCTGATCATTTCCTCCAATATTGTTGTCCATGGCTACTTCCTGCTCTTCTTATCAATGAAAACAGTTCTGATCTCAATTGGGTTGCCAAGGTATGCACAGTTTCTGTAATTGATGATATATTTGATATTATTAATGAAGGTTCTAGTTTTATTCTTTAGGAAAAAAAGGCATTGCCATGGGAAATGATTAAGTATTTGCACTGTCTCATTCATTGCATGTCAGGATACTGGACTTTCTAATAATTGCTTATGTTTTTTTTAATCCAGATCTAATATTATAATGCTTATGTATTTCGTTCTCTAACAAAATTCTTTTATGCAGGTCACTTGTCAACCTTTGACAGTTCTTATAAAAAACCACTTCACATCGATATTTTCAATTTCTATGGCTTTGCATTGCAGTAAGAAACCGGGATCTGAGAAGGGAACACTAGTGCTTCAGAGTTCCATTTTGCATTTTGCACAGATATCTGAGAAAGAACGAGACAAACTCATAAAGAGACACATGGTACTAGTCTGCACTCTAGGGTCTTTTTGTTTTGCAGAAAATAATCTTCGGGAGTTTGGTTGTACATCAACGACAGTTCAATCTGCATCCAGTTGAATTTTGTCGTGAAAATTGGGGTGTGTTGTGTATTGAAATTGGTGCCCAAAATATACACTTTGTTTATGGAAAACATTCAGCTACATTTGGTGTAACATTTAATGGGAAATCTTTTCTTGATTATTTATTATGTGTTAATTGATGGAAAAATGATTTCCCCTTTACAAATCAAACAATATAACTTTTTACAAAAAAATGCACTGGTTTTCATAATCTTAAGAGCAATATATATTTTCAAGGAAAATTTCCTAATTTTTTTTCTTGAATAGTTTCTATTAGCATGCACTTTGCCTTCATTTGTTTCTTATATCTTCAGGGAATGGGGGTGGGGGAGGTTCTGAACTGGCAAGATGTAGGTGTTCATATTTAACTTCATAATTCAAAAGTACCTTGTGGCCATTTTTAAAGTACAGTTGGATTTGATTAACATGTAGGCTTGCAATTTAGTTACCATCTGTTGACATGTGCTATATTAATATTGTCCATATCATTATTAATTGAATTTTTTTAAGGAGACGTTTCTTCATCAGGTGATCTTATTTTCTAAAACTTTGGTAATTTTAGGTCTCTATTGTCAGCTGCGTTTTATCTTTGTGCTCTTGTTCATCAAATGCCATAGCCCCCTTTTTTTCAAGGGAAACAGTGTTGCTTGAAATTCAGACAATTGTTGATGGATTTTTGGATTTGTAAGTTATCTTTTCGTCCTTGGTGTTTATCTTCTGTTCCAGTTGGAGTTTATGCTTGCATTGTAACATGCAATTATTTTGAGATGTAGGGATGATAATCATGCAAGTGCTTCTGTTGTTGACAAGATCAACATTTTTCGCCCAGATAGAGTTTTCATGGTAATTTTCTGACATAAAACTTGACAACCCAATTTGGGTATCCTCTTTCCTGCTTATTATTTTTTTTTATTCCTTGCTGTTTCTAATAAATTAAACTATTTTTTAATTTGCAGTTTTTGGTAGAAATTCATTTTAAAATTGCAGCAGCATCTCATTACAGGCATAAGTGCCATCGATTGGCTGGAATTGAGGTTCTTATTAGTATTCTTGGTCAGAGAGCTTCTGTTTTAAGCACTTCCAAGTAAGTTTCGTGGACTGAAATTTGGTGTATTGCATTTCAATGGCATTGTACTCATAAAATATAGTGTATATCTGTATAGTGTTGATAGGTTTGCATTTTTGGTCTCTGTATTTATCATCTACTTAAATGTTGAGAAAATGCAGTTACCTTTTCAATTTGATGGGGTCCTTGATTGAATGTCATGCTTTACAAGACCAATGTTGTCGTATACTTTCTGCATTGTTGCTACATTTCAAAAATAATCTATCTGCAGAAGCGACCAGTATGCTTGGGGAACAGCTCCAGGTATATGCTGTTTCATTTTTACACTGTTTTCAACCTCTCAGATCTAATATTGAATAACTAAGAACGATTTTTCATCAAAAATATCCAAGTACATCTTGAAAAATCATCAATAAAGGTGACGTAATACCTATGCCCCAAAAGAGAAGGAACACGACTAGGACCCCAAACATCAGAATGAATAACATCAAAAGGAGACATAGCTCGAGTATTAACACTATTAGGAAAAGAAGCTCTAACATGCTTTCCTAATTGACACGACTCACACTCTAAAGACTCTAACCGTGAGAGATGAGGTACCATTTTCTTTAATTTATTCAAGCTTGGATAACCCAGGCGACGGTGGATTAAACCAGGAGACTCAATAGATGCACATATGGTAGAGGTAGAAGGCTGAAGGTAGTAGAGACCATGTGATTCAGATCCGGCTCCAATCGTCTGTCCCGTACTCCGGTCCTGTATCAAGAAAGAATCAGAAGTGAAGGTTATGACACAGTTTAGTGACCGAGTCAACTTACTTATAGAAATCAAATTAAAGGGACATCCAGGAACTAGTAAAACAAATTTTAATGGTAGTGATGGAAGAGGTGATATTTGACCAATACCAGTGGCTTGGACTTTTGACCCATCTGCAAGAGTGATATGATGTGGAGTTTTAGGTGATGATAGGTTACGGAAAAGGGAGACATTACCAGTTAGGTGATCAGAAGCACCGGAGTCCAAAACCCAAGGTCCAATAGACGTAGAATGAGAGAGACAGACTGTAGAATTACCAGTATGAGCAACAGTGATGGAGGAAGGGGCCTGTTTAGTCGCCTTTAGTTGAAGATACTCTTTGTAATCATCGGCAGATAATGTGATTGGATGATTACTCTTGGGTTCAATCTTGACTTCTAGAGCCGAAGTCGGAGATTGAGCCACTTTAGCTGTCTTGCTCGGAAAGCCATGCAAGGAATAACACTTGTCTCGTGTATGCCCATCTCTTTGGCAGTAGGTACAATGGAGGTTTCCTCTACCCCCTTTACCACGAACACGACCTCGACCACGCCCTCGACTTCCATGGTCAGTTGAACTAGGGATAAAAGCAGAGGGTGTGCCATTCTTGGAAATCTCTGCCATGAAGAGAAAAAGGAGAAGAACAGCAAAAAACACCTCCAAACAATCCCGAAAGACCTCCGAGACAGCAACCAAACAGTCTCGAAATTCCGTGGCAGCACCCAAACAACCACGAAATTCCAAGCAGCAACCAAACGACCACCTACAGTGTGACCCACTACCTAAAAAGGGTCAAAACAAGAAGAGGGAGGGTCGGCGAGTCCAACGGTGCAAACGGCGTCGCAAACGGAGGCCTGGAGGGCGGTGCGTGAGACACCGGTCTGGAGGCGGCTCGCGACGGAAAGGCCGATCGGCGACCTCTGAACACTCAGGCGGCGTCAACTCTGACAACCGCTAACAAAATTCGAAAAACCCTAGATGCCTTGGTGGCGGCTGGGGTAGGGGTTCCAAACCAGGACCAGAATGCTCTGGTACCAACTTGAATCTGAATAATTTTCATGTTATTGAATTGATGGATACAATAAAATAAATAGGCATAAAACATAATCAATCCCTAAAGTTTAGGGATTTAGATAAAACTAACTAAGGAAACTAAACTAGAAATTAGGAGAGGATAAACTAGTATATCTAAACTATATCTTATAGAATTATCTTAACAGTACCCCTCAAGCTGGAGCATATATATCATATGCATCTAGCTTGTTACATATATATGTTATCCTAGGACCTCGTAAAGATTTAGTAAAGATATCTGCAAGTTGATCCTTGGAGCAAACTGAGGAGGTCTTGATGATACCGGAGAGGATCTTTTCTCTGATGAAATGGCAGTCAACCTCTATATGCTTTGTTCTCTCATGAAAAACTGGATTAGAGGAGAGGTATAAAGCTGACTGGTTATCACAAACTAGTTCCATATGACCAACCTTGCAAAACTGCAACTCTTGAATTAAGAATTTTAGCCACAAGAGCTCACATGTGGTGTGAGCCATAGCACGATATTCTGCTTCTGTACTTGATCGTGCAACAACACTTTGCTTTTTACTCTTCCATGAGACAAGATTACCACCCATGAAGACACAATAGCCTGATGTTGACCGCCTATCACTTGCATCACCTGCCCAATCTGCATCTGAATATCCAACAATGTTTGTATGTCCTCTATCATTGTAAACAAGTCCTTTTCCTGGTGATCTTTTGATGTATCTAAGGATTCGAACAACTGCAAGCCAATGACTCTCACAGGGAGAGTTAAGAAACTGACTTACAACACTGACAGGAAAGGATATATCAGGTCTGGTCATGGTGAGATAATTCAATTTTCCCACTAATCTCCGATATCTCCCTGGGTCAGGATAAGGCTCCCCCTGATTAGGCATAAGCTTCACATTAGGATCCATGGGAGTGTCAACTGGCTTACAATCTGTAAGTCCGGTCTCTTCTAGAATATCAAGGGCATATTTTCTCTGAGAAATAGCAATACCGGACTTTGACTGAGCGACCTCAATCCCGAGGAAATAACGTAGGGGACCTAAATCCTTAGTTTGAAAGTGTTTAAATAAGTGTTGCTTCAGTGCCTTGATGCCCTCCTGATCATCACCTGTAATCACAATATCATCTACATAAACAACAAGATAGATAAATCTATGTGTCGATGAGCGTCTAAAGAAGACAGAGTGGTCTGTCTCGCAGCGGATCATTCCAAATTCCTGTATAACTTTGCTAAACCGACCAAACCAAGCACGAGGTGATTGTTTGAGGCCATACAAGGACTTTTGTAATTTACATACAAGACCAGACCCCCCTTGAGCAACAAACCCAGGAGGTTGATCCATATAAATCTCCTCCTCCAAATCACCATGTAAGAAGGCATTTTTGATGTCTAATTGAAACAAAGGCCAATGCCTCATAGCAGCCATAGCTAAGAAGAGACGAACTGAGGCCATCTTCGCAACTGGAGAGAAGGTGTCGCTGTAATCCAAACCATATACTTGCGTGTATCCCTTAGCCACAAGACGAGCTTTCAATCTATCCACCTGTCCATCAGGGCCCACTTTCACATTAAATACCCACCGACAACCAACAACAGATTTTCCAGGCGGAGGTGGGACAAGTACCCAAGTGTGGTTGGAGTCTAAAGCTGTCATCTCATCAATCATTGCTTGTCGCCATCCTGGATGGGTTAAGGCCTCCTGTACTGTCTTGGGAATGGTAATAGAGGAAATAGCAGAGACAAAAGCATAATAGGTAGGAGACAAACGATGATATGAAAGAAAGTTATAAATAGGATGAGGATTACAAGTAGAACGACTACCTTTACGAAGAGCAATGGGCAAGTCAACTGAGGTAGGTGGGGCCGGAGTAGGTGAGGAGACTGAAGCAGGAGTAGAATCACATGGCTCAATTGAAGAATCATTGGGAGGAACAACAGTATGTGATCGACGCTCATAGGTTATCCCAAATCGGTGTAGAGGATTGTCAGACCCTGGTAGTGTGGGAGGATCTGGTGCCTCTAAAGTAGCAGGTGTGGTAGGAGGCACACTATGATCAAAATGAGGAATAGGCAATACCTGAGAGAGGAGATCTGAGTCAACCGGAGAGACATCTGTGGCAATAAAATATGGTGTATCTTCAAAGAAAGTGACATCTGCACTGGTGTAAAATCGATGCGTAGCAGGAGAGTAACAACGGTACCCCTTTTGGACACGGGAGTATCCTAAGAACACACATTTGATGGCCCGAGCAGACAACTTAGCACTTCCTGAGAAAAGATCATGGACAAAACAAGTACAACCAAAGACACGAGGATGAACAGAATAAAGGGGATCCAATGGGTATAATAGGGAATGAGGTACTTGATCATTCAAGACAGACGATGGCATTCGATTTATTAAATACCCTGCAGTGAGGACAGCATCGCCCCACAACTTTGGGGGTGCATTGGCATTCAATAAAAGAGTACGAGCAGTGTCCACAATATGTCTATGTTTTCGCTCAGCTACACCATTTTGTTGAGGTGTATGAGGGCAACTAGATTGATGTAGAATGCCATGGGAAGCCATAAATGATTTGAAGCAATCTGAAAAATATTCTTTAGCATTATCACTTCGTAAAATCCGAATTACTTTGCCAAATTGAGTTTTGATCTCCGAATAGAAACTTAGGAAAATATTGAATAACTCAGAACGATTTTTCATTAAAAATATCCAAGTACATCTAGAAAAATCATCAATAAAGGTGACGTAATACCTATGTCCTAAAAGAGAAGGAACGCGACTAGGACCCCAAACATCAGAATGAATAACATCAAAAGGAGACATAGCTCGACTATTAATACTATTAGGAAAAGAAGCTCTAACATGCTTCCCTAATTGACACGACTCACACTCTAAGGACACCAACCGTGAGAGATGAGGTACCATTTTCTTTAATTTATTCAAGCTTGGATGACCCAGGCGACGGTGGATTAAACCAGGAGACTCAATAGATGCACATATGGTAGAGGTAGAAGGCTGAAGGTAGTAGAGACCATGTGATTCAGATCCAGCTCCAATCGTCTGTCCCGTACTCCGGTCCTGTATCAAGAAAGAATCAGAAGTGAAGGTTATGACACAGTTTAGTGACCGAGTCAACTTACTTATAGAAATCAAATTAAAGGGACATCCAGGAACTAGTAAAACAGATTTTAATGGTAGTGATGGAAGAGGTGATATTTGACCAATACCAGTGGCTTGGACTTTTGACCCATCTGCAAGAGTGATATGATGTGAAGTTTTAGGTGATGATAGGTTACGGAAAAGGGAGACATTACCAGTTAGGTGATCAGAAGCACCGGAGTCCAAAACTCAAGGTCCAATAGACGTAGAATGAGAGAGACAGACTCTAGAATTACCTGTATGAGCAACAGTGATGGAGGAAGGGGCCTGTTTAGTCGCCTTTAGTTGAAGATATTCTTTGTAATCATCGACAGATAATGTGATTGGATGATTGCTCTTGGGTTCAATCTTTCTCTGTTTCTTATTGATTTTCTATCTCTTATAATTTTTACTTATATTTCGTTGAATTTGTTATATCCAGTTTCTTGTTTCCAAATTGGTGGAATGTTGCATTCCTTCTAAAACCAAAGAATCGTATGATAGCACTGCATCACAGGCTTTATCTCTGCTCCGAATCTTAACTGTGGATTCTGATTCATCTATGTATGATTATGTTAAAGTGAGTTTCTGATATTCAACTTGTATTTGTTTTATTAAGGATCTGTTCTTTTGTTTGTTGATGTATGAAAAGAATTTCTTACAGGAATTGGAGCCATTTCCTGAATTAAGAATATTTGATGAGATAAGTAAGTTCCATGAAGAATTATGCCACACTTACTCTATACGCGGCCACTTATTGAAGGTAAATCATTATCATTTTCCATTGTATTTTTATGGATGTAAAATATTAAGTTTCAAGATAATTTTCTCTTGTTATCTGGCACATTTTTATTTCCAGTTTGTAAAGAAGTCTTGCTACCTTCCGCCAAGGTTTCTTTTATCAAGGTGACTTCCTTTTTCTACAATCCTTTGTATGTTATTATCTTCCATAGTTATCTATGGAGATGGCCTGAAATTGCTCCCTCTTATATAAATATAACTAAATTGAAAGTATTGGTTCATAAAAGTATTAGTATGTACTGTCTCTGCATGTGTTTGTCTATCAGGAGAGAGAATTAGTGGAGAACTGGAGAAGTATTTAAATATAGTGAAATATTAAATGATCAACATTATTACTTACAATATGTTTTTGTGATTTTAAACTGCTTTTTAAGTTTCTGTGATGCTTGATTCTGTGTTTTTTCTCAGTCTCCAGGCATTGCACAAGAAGTTAATGAATGTAGAAGCATTTCAAAGAGGAGGGGAAGCAGAAGTCTACTTTAAAGACAAATATTGGCATGGTGATCATGAAATTGTGCATGCAGTCTGGAAACTTTTTCACATGTGTGGCTCTGATGATGCAAATGAAGCTCGAGAATTGGTTTCAGATTTCATTTCTAGGGTATTGATTTTATTAGTTTTTGTTTTTGTAACTCTCAGACAATCAGACTGTGTAGAGGGATGGGCAGGAGTTCATGTTCTCTTGCTCAGCTTGTCTATTCCCTCTAACGCCACACTTCAGTTTAACATGTTTATGCTTTTCTCTTTTATTGCCTTCCTCCTTGGTATATTTTCTTATGGTAAAATTCTTACGATGAGAGGGAGCGTTGCTTACTCTAGGATCCCATAACACAATGGAAAAAGCTCTTAACCTATTGATATTTTATCAAGGGAATGAAGTCATTGAAATCAGGTCAGGTTTTAATGCATGGGAGGCACAAGCTTCTGCCAGTGTTATTAGAATTGGACCGGTTATCGACTTAGTCAAGGTACTAGGTTGGTGGACTACTGGTCGAACCAATGGGTTGTTAGTTGAACCACATGAATCGACATATAAAATATTTAAGTATATTATATATATTATATGTGTGGAAATATATACTAAAAAACCAAAGTGGTGTAATGGTAAGATAATGGAGATGCTGGGATCGACTCCTAGGTTGAGCAGATTTTATATTTCTTTTTTTTACAAAGCGTACATGCACATCACATTTTGATTTTCAACACATGTCAGTAATTAGTCATGCAGAACGCCTTGGGCCACACACATGCTAGCAGAAGTCATTCCCGAAAGCAGCAGTAGGCCACGCATCTTTGGACCTGTGGCGAAAAGATGTCTGACAGGAACTGGGTTTCTGGCTGGTTTGGTGACATCATCATCGGGCCAATAACATTTCCAGTCTCATGATGACTTGACTTGCTTATATGTCTGGTAACCTGGTCAGATTGGTCCAACCAGCAGGTCTGAGCTGGCTTTTATAACACTAGCCTCAACCATTTGTGCCCTCCTATGCAGATACCTCTTCAATAAGTTACATTTTAATCATTCTTTTTATATGAAGATACCTCTTAGAATAATGTATTTAAGCCTAACTCAACCTTACAAAAACGGCTTGTAAGGTGAGGGTTGCTTTCCAGTTATATACTATTTAATTGCCTAATCTCTAGTTGATGTGGGACTTGGGTTTTTCCCAATACACTCCTCGCACGTCCAGCACTATTGAGCTTGGTACGTAGATAAATGGTAGGTGGCCCTTTTTTAATGATCTAGGATTGACGAGACTTGAATACACCCTCTCATGCCCATGGTGCATGTATCAATGGTGGGTGGCCCATTTTTAAGAATCTAGGATAACTCTGATACCATCTTAGAATAGTGGATTTAAGCCTAACTCAATCTTACAAAACTGGCTTGTAAAGTGAGGGTTGCTTTTCACTTATATACTATTTAATTGCCTAATCTCTAGTCGATGTGGGACTTGGGTTTTTCCCAATAATACCTCTGGAATAATTTTTGTTTC